AGTACTATCTCAGCCCATGTCTACACACAAATAATGAAGACAACTTTCTTCAAATACAATTTAAATAGTATAAAGTAAACAATATTAGTTATAATAAAAACTCCTGTAGGTCATTATTTGATCTTCCAAAAAGCCCATGAACCAAAAAATCTTCACAAAACTAAAAAACTAAATGTAAATGTCAATAATACAAAATACTGACTGGAAAGCATCTCTTATTTAAAAAAAATTTCCTTTACAAAATAGTGACCATACTATAGTTTTAATTGCCGAGCATATTAAAATCACACTCGTGGAAAACAAAAAAAACCAAAAACCTGTCTATTTACATTGATTCTGATTCAGTGAAATACGCGTGGTTGTAAGAACAAAATTGGCAGGTGTGTGGGTTTTGTGAATCGGATGGTAATTTTTGCAAATGCACATATTTAACCCTAACCCACTGAGAGCAAACACAATGTGAGAAGGAAAGAACGGGACTTTCAAAACATACTTTTAACATCCTGAATTTCATTTCTCTTCGCTTGAATAATCAGACCGCATCTTATCTTTAATACCTCTCAGTAGCATACCACCCAATAGTGCACTTTACCCCCAGACTGCCGGCTTGCTTGTGCTTCCAAGGATATTTAAAAGTAAAATGAGAAGCAGAGCCTTCACTTTTGTCTTTTGTCCTGTATTCCTCCTCTCACCTCTAACTGGTTGCGGCAGATGGCCCCGCCCCTCCCTGAGCCTGGTTCTGCAGGAGGCTTCTTCCTGTTAAAAGGGAGTTTTTCCTTCCCACTTTCCTTCCTACTTGCTCATGCTTGAGAGTGTGTGTGTGTGTGTGTGTGTGTTGCTTTAGAGTATAAAGCACCTTGAGGTGATTTGGCAGTATATGAAAAAAAAGTAAATTGAAGTGAACTGCATTAGTGTTCACTTGGTTTGAGTTCTTATTTTAAAGCTCCATGAAACATGAACATGAAGAGCTTAGATGTTGTAACAGTTAAAATGGGGGGTAGCACCTTCATCTATCTGACTACTCTCCTGTCGAGCCAGCTTGGGTTCAGGGCAGACACTCTCTTTACTGTTATCAGATCAGATGACCCAGTCCATTAGCCATGCTGCTATAGGCCCGGGTTCTTTGGGGACTGCCCATGAAGCACTGATCACTTCTCCATCACTCCCTTCTCTCTTACTCCCCATGCATTTTTATGCCACTGTTAAGCACAACATTCACTTTGTCATCTCTGTCCTATAGTTTGTGCTTTATCTTGTTTTTGTTTACCATCTTTCCACATTTCTCTCCTTTCATTTCCCCCACCCCAGCTGATAGCTGAGACCAGCTAAAGTTTCTTCCTGCTAAAATGGAGTTCTACCTCCCTGCTGTTGTTAGAGGGCTATTGAGGATTTTCTCTCTAATACTCTTACTGTAGAAGCTTGAGATGACTATTGCTGTGAAGTAGTGCTCACAATATAGTAAAGTTGAATGTTAATGAACTGGACTGGATTGCATCAATTAAAATAAATCAACTGTGGGGATTTTTTTTAACCATGCTGGTGATAACACAAGCTACATGTTGTCAGTGCATGATTCAGCAAAACAAAAACACTCAGTGACTGAAGTTTGCTGTAAATTAATCTACATTAGCTTTGTTTACTTGTTAGAGGCAACCTTGCATGCAAGTCATCATGGAAATCAGTTGCAGCAAATGAATAAGATGCCGCTCCCCTATTAAAATGCTGTTTAACAAGCCAGACAAGTGCGTCTCTGACGGGTTGCTTACCTCTATCAATTCCGCTCAGCCACTCGCTGGCCGACAGGGCCGGTTCTGTTCCTGCCGTCATGGGGTAGATGTCCTCCTGGTACGTGTCTGACTGTAAACAAACATTTTCAGATGTCTCAGCAACCATTTGCTCAGCACTGCTGATTATCTCAACGTTCGGATGTCTTTGGTAAAGAGTTTTTATCTCAAAGAATTACATACGGTTTTGATAATTTTCCACCTTTTGACTTTGAGATGCTCATTCACCAGTCTGCTTTTAAACACACGTCTTAGGTCAAATAAATGGTATTAGATTAATTCTTCCTGTTCTTGTTTCTTCTTGCTCTGATTTTGTATTCATCACAAACCAAGGTATTATAAGTCCAGTGTTCCCAAGAGGTGTTGGCTAAAATCTAACAGCTTTTTTGACTTAATAAATGCTGGTTATCATCTGCTGAAGATGAGACTGATAATAACAGAATGGAGTCTAATTTCATTCCCACTCACCCTTCTTGGCACAATCATGGAAACGGGCTCAATCAAACCCTTGAGGGTGACCAGTTTGTAGAAGCGGTACACCTCGCAAGCTGCCACATCCATCCCGTGCTTTGGCATCACACCTGCAGACAGGAAAAGAGGCATGTGGTGACGGCTGTTTTGCCAACATCCCTTTCCTAGAATTCATTGTTTGTCTCATCAACAAGATACAAAAACAACCTGCTGCAGCGTGACATTGATGGACAAGTTAGTGAAGCTCTTTAAGCTTTTTTGAGCAAATTTCCAATTCGGACACCTCATTTTTATTTTCTCCAGTAAATACGGTCCTTTCAGCTACGCAACACCGTTTTTAGAGGTGTTGAGGGCTGAGCTCATTTTCACAGTGATTCATTCCACCTCTCCGTTTCTAAAGACAGTTAATGACTGGGTTAGCATTTCTCTTTCTCCTCTGGCAGGACAGATCAGATACTGCTGTTCAGCAACTGGCTTACCTAGTCCTTTCTGTGGGGCAGGGGATCGGAACTCCATTAGGTACTGGATGTACGGCTTCTCTGTGGTGATTTCAAAGTAACGGATGTTGCCGTCCCCCTGCCAGAGCAACAGAACATGGTCATTACCTCTGAGCAATTGAAGCTACATCTTTTTTGCTGCTGTGCTCAGATTTCCAGAACAAGCAATGCTTCTCAGACTTTGACTTCCCTTTATTACTCAAGTTAAATTGAACACACACACACACACACACACACACACACACACACACACACACACACACACACACACACACACACACA